CGGACTGGGCCATGACACTTCTGGAGCTTTAGGAAGCCAACCTGTGACCTTGGGAAAGTTGATAGGGCCTAAACAACCTGCGCTACTCACTACCTGCTAGTCGCAACCGGCAAAGGAAATCCCTACAGGACCTTCATCGTCGCAACGGGTTCAGAAACAATCCCGCTTCCCCCCCCTCCCTCCCCGTCCTGCATCGCAGGGCCTCCCTCGTTGCCTAGCTCGCGGCCAATGGCCCGACCAAGCATCTCCAGCTCCAGCATCATCACTGCGGAGTTCAACAGCACCTCAGCCCATCCATTGTTCCAAGCGGCTGGCTTCTCCCCCCAAAACACAACCCAAAACAATATCTCGGAATGACACTTTGTCGCCCCTCCAACAAGGCGTGTGACTCTTCAAACAACTGTTTGCTCGCAGCTTTCGCAGTTCTAGAATAGAACGATGCTTCAGAATGGCTGGAATGTTTATTGCCAGGGGGGCTTGTCAAAACGGAAGCCACTATCATTTTCCCCCTGACAGACGGGATGGACACACACCCAGCTCTTGACCGAGTCGTCCCTGCTACTGGCAAGCGCTATGGTGACATGATCAAAGAGGATCTCGAACGGCAAGCCAAAGTGGCTGCCGAGGAAAAAAGAAAGTGTTGATGTTCACCCTAAGCAACAGGTCGCAGCGCAAGCCAAGGGCTGATGTTCACAAGTTTGCTGCGCACCCGGAAGAAACACTTGACGTGACGCGGCTCTTGAATTATCCGGCTTCTGCAGCAGCCAAACATGCACATATTGAGGAGCCCTGGTACAACCCGTTTAAAAAAAAAAAAAAAGTAAAACCTTTGTCTATCCTTTGGCTGCTGGGGTAGTGATCTGGGGGTAGTCTACTTATCTGAGCCTTAGAATTGACCTTTGTATATATATATATATAGAGATATATGAAGAAAATAACTGGTACGATGCAGTAGTTCATTGATTGTGGTTGCCCCGCCAACTCCTTACGGCTTAACGATGGAACAGGTGACATACATATCCAGAGGCGGTTGGGCTGGTCCCTTCGGTACCACTGTTTGCCAGTTCGCTGTGAACGTAAATTACCTCCGGCGGAATAGGAGGCAAATCCAACCCCTTCCGAGGTGCCAGGAAGCCAGCCAAGTAGTCCATGCATGCCGCGGCCTTGTTAAAGCCCCTGGTAAAGTTCTCTCGGGTGCTGATGATATTTTTCGACGCCGACTTGAACTTCGTCGCCGGGCTGTGATTGGCCCGTTCGCTCCTGGGCCATTCCGCTCCAGTCACGTTGCCCAAGCCGTTCCTGTGGACTCCCTGCCGAAAAGCAAAACCCGGCTCTTGAAGGGGCTAACCTGCCAATCACAAATCAAATCAACTTCGAGAAATGAGAACAGCTTCTCTGTCCAGATCCCTCAAAAAATGGCCAGGGGATGCGAGAAGCTGGCACTTGCAGTGAGCGAACAGCCAGTGACATCCCAGCACTTTCGGCCAGGTCTCTCTGGCCGCAGCACGTTAGCCAACGGTGCCTCCTTTCGCGCATCGGGCATGACATCCATGGACTGCCTGACGCTTGCACTGCACCCGGAGCTTCGGAGAATTGGCATCAAACCAAACACACCATGGCATGAAGCCTCAAACTCCGAAACTTTGAACACTGTTGAGGTTCAGTATGTCCACTGTCAAGCCCAAGACAATTGCTCTGACTGATTCATGTCATGAATGGAGCTCGCCTACAACTGACTTTCTTACAAACAACGAAGCGTAGCGCCAAGTTGCTGATCCCGCGGAGTGTGACATCTAGACTGCGGGGACGCGCTGGGCGTGGCCAAATACTCCTCATTCCTCAGAAGCACGCCGTTGGCATGGGAAAGGTCGGTAAGGTGATCCAGCTGGCGCAGTGTGCATGCTCTTTGGGCAGGCCATTCGTTCTGGCATCGTCCCCGGTCGTTCAGGGCCGTTCGTGTTTATGGCCATCGATTTGCCATTCGCCCTCTCAGGGCCAGACCAGTCCATCTCTGGCCAGGGGTCCGCAGTCTCAGAGATGAGCCTTGGGCAAATCAATGCATTGTGCTGGTCTGGCCTATTGTTCTGTGGCTTAGCGGCACCAAGCCATCCATGAAGCCAGCCATCCCAAAGGCGCCATATACAAAGGCACGCCCTTGAAATCCATAAGCCGGCTGCCCCCCATGGGCACTGTGTTCCAGCTAAGGACACTCAGCATAACTTGAAACTCCCAACATCCAAGCACACCAAGAAAGCGTGATCCATATGTTCCTACCTGACAAAGATTTCCCTCTGCTTCAAGAGCCGCATGAGTCGTTTCGAACGTGGCATTGCGCGTCGCGCTTTGGAGCTTCATCAACATCTTGTCTTGTGGCAGGCACCTTGACCAACATCATGTCCCCAATGCAACACACGAGGCAAAAGGGATGAGCAACATCCAATGGCCCAACATCCCATTGGCTGGCCAGGAGGGAGGGAACAAAGGGGCGACAACCGTGACG